TCTTTGGAGCCATGCTAAAAAGCACACCAAAAAGCTTCACAGCCAGTGTCTGTCTGCGACTCCAATCTCACCTACAGGAAGCCATGACCACATGTCACAGCAGGGAAAATGGCCGTGGGTCATGTTCGTCACCCGATGCAGAGTTTGCGAACAGAAGCAAAATTTTGCGAATGGTGCTGGTCGCGAACCGAATTGTTCGTGAACAGAAGTGTTCGTGAACCGAGGTACCACTGTATAATCTTCATCACTTCAGGGTACACGTCTATTTGCATATGTATTATAGCAGGGGCAATGGAAATACTCTTATCTTGTTAGAACTTTTATTGTTTTAATTACAATATATTGGGGAAACATGAAAGTAATATTTAACAATGTCAAAACTCACTTTTTTTTTCTTAAAAAAATCCTGTATGGGAATAAGAGACCTGGATATAATTTCAGCAAGTCACTAATGCTTTTATTAATTTCATATTTCTTTGCAAAGCAAACCAAAATATTCCCTAAAGTAGAGTGTAATAACAAAGTACTTCTGGGCAAATTAAAGACTGTTCACTTTTAATGCACTCTCAGTATTAAACTACCCCTAATGTGTTTGTCATAATAAAAATACTCTCAATGTAAAATATTTTTAATACAACAGTCTAATATGCAAAGATGGAGAAATTCTCTTCTTCTTAGAAAGAGCTGGCCCCTAAATAAACAATACTAGCTCCTTAAAAACATGTATAGGAATCTAGAACTTGGAAATAATGTTTACATCTTTAAAAATAGTTCATTATATTATCTGACTTTGACAATGATGAAAATAAACAGTCTTCCACAGAACGACTGGCCATATGCCAGAGACAAGAATATCTTTGAATCAGGAAGTTAGAAAAGGCAGATTTCCTACAAGAGGTTACATTACAGAAGGTAACTCTCTCAAAAAAGCCATAGTGTGGTTTTGAGGTAAAAATCTCCCTTCCCTAGTTCAGACTATATTAGCAAGGGTTTCTTTTCTTTTACCCATTTGGTCCTAGAAATGTCACATAGTTTACTTAAATATCTTAATTCTATTTTTTTAAAATCACAGGTTCAACTTGTGTTCTATTTTGTATATTCTTATTTTTCTAAAATGGCATAAATGAAAATGTGCTTATAGTCAATTCCATGCATATCATTTGCCTGGAAAAGCTATAGAACTTTGAACTTCAAAACTCTCTAGTTGTACCATAGGATATTATTAAGAATACCACAGGAAGTCCTCACTTAATGACAATAGGGACCAGAAAATTGGTTGTTAAGCAAGTCACTACATGACTGGACCCAATTTTACAACCACTTTTATGACAGCCATTAACCAAATCACTGCAGTCATTAAGCAAATCACATGGTCATTAAGCAAATCCAGCTTCCCCAAGGGACATTTTTTGCCAGAATTCGCTTAACGACCACATGATTCGCT